TTGTGAACACGGATCAACCGATTTGAATGATTCAAAAAGCATTCGGTTTGTAATAAATCGAAGACGCGCTGATTAGTTTTTGGCAAAGGCAGGTCCAGCCGTTTTGAAGATACTAGACAAAAAGAGCAGACAATGGAAATTCAGTTTTTAAGAGAACGGAGCGTCCGATTATAATAATTCAAAAAACATTTGATTCCTATTAAAAAGAAGACATTCTGTTTTTGGCGAAGGCAGGTCTAGCCGTTCCGAAGATACGGGGCAAAAATAATTCAAAAAACATTTTACTTTTATTGACAAGATGAAGAACTGGTTATGGATATGAACAAGATGAAGCGGTTATGGACTCTTAATAAAAATAAGTTAAAAAAATGTCATTTGGTGGTCAAAAATGTTTATTGGACATATGTACATCAAATTATCATATATTTTATAGAGATTTTAATAGTTTGTACACATTTTGTGTATTTTTTTTTGAGTTTCGTACCAAGATTATCAATTAGGGTACGGGAAGTTCCCGCAATTTGCCTTAAGGCATGATGCCATGCACTCCACTAGTTTTCTAAATAAAAAAAGATAATCAAACTTTCATAGAATATAATTTGAAAAATAAAATATTTTAAATATTATGCTGTATAATAACTTGAAACGCCGAATTTAAAATTAAATTTTAATTATAAGTCTTGTAGATTTTAATCATTCTTTATACATAAATTGTGTATATGTATAGTATTAATTAATACAACTCGAACACAATGTTGTTATTTAACTAGAAGAGTAACACATAGTTTAAAAGGATAATATTTAGTCTGATTGACTACATATACGAGGTCTGTTCAAAAAGTACCCGGAATTTTCGTTTTTTCAAAAAAATATTTATTTATTCGTCTACATTAATGTGGTCCCCTTCAAAGTAGTCCCCCCCAGATATAATACACTTATGCCAGCGTTTTTTCCAATTTTCGAAGCACCCTTGATATTCACTTTTTGATATGTCCTTGAGCACTCTCAGCGATTTTCTTCAATCGAGGAAAACCGCCGTCCTTTCATGGGTCTCTTCAACTTTGGGAATAGGAAAAAGTCACACGGAGCCATATCTGGTGAATTTTTGCACTTTGCAACACTTTATTTCATTTTTTACGCAAAATTTAATACAAATTCTTTGACTTTTCAATTCTTCCATTGTAAAAATCGCCGAGCTCAGAAAAACACGTCGAACCTTAGCGACTACCACAGACAAAGTAAACAGTGAATATAGCTGAAAATTTCATCATACTTTAGGGGCATGTATACCAACACAATAAAAAAAAATTTTGACAATCAGACACTCCAGATCCGCGAAATTTAATTATTAGTAATTCCGGGTACTTTTTGAACACACCTCGTATGTATGTACAAAAAAACTTGTTGACTCACACTTTTTTTAAATGTTTAAATAAGAAGGATAATCCAGCTTATAAAGATTATGTGAATAATTAAATATTTTAAATATGATAATACAAATGGTCGATTTTCAAAAGTCTTTTATATTATTTATAGTAACAAAAACACAATTCATTTGTCGATACAAATTCGCTAGTTTAATCACTGTAGTGTAATGTGAATAATTAAATGTTTTAAATATGATAACACAAAAGGTCGATTTTTAAAAGTCTTTTATATTATTTATAGTAACAAAAACACAATTGATTCATCGATACAAATTCACTAGTTTTATCACTGTAATCACTTTTTGACCATACACATCGAATGTCACTTCATCATATTTTCCTCCTATCCTTTCCGAATCGTCTTTTGAGATAGGATCTTTCCCAAATCGCTCGGAGGGTTTCGTCGTGATGCTCGTCGGCCGATTACCGGGCTACTATCGCGGTTTCTGTTTTGCGTGAGGAGTTTCATCTCCCACTACACCCAGATTTTCAGCGTCGCGACGCATACGAACGATATTGCATGGGCGTGTTACTCTCTCTCACTCTTCGGCTTAGGGAAATTGTACACATTTTTCCTCGGTTTACATGTTAACAGACCCTTTGCGAATACAATGGTACCCCGATATACGAGTTTAATTCGTTCCGTAACAAAGCTCGTATCTCGAAGCATTTTCTGCATATAAATACTGAAATGGCATTAATTCGTTTCAGCACCGTGGTTTTTGTTTATTAATTTACTTCCCATAGAGTAAGTTATAGTAATCACAACTAGTGGGGCGCATGGCATCTTGCCTTAAAGCAAATTGCTAGAACTTCCCGTACCATTTTTTTTAAAGAATAACATTTTTGAAAAAAATTTACTCTGAAAAAAATAGATTTTTGAGAAACTATAAATTTTTGACAAAAATTTACTTTTTTTTGAAAAAAAAAAAGTCTTTTTGAAGAAAAATTTGTTTTGAAATATTTTGGAAATTCTGAACTTTTTTTCAAAGCAATCGTACTGCTTTAACTGCATAGAGACGAAATATCGAAGCGCGTAAGCGCCGCGTCGCCGTCTAACGGATAAACATTGGTACGGAACCCATAGGAATGTAAACAAAATTTATACTTATTGTTAAAATATCTATAAAATATCTGATAATTTGATGTGCATATGTCTAATGATCATTTTTGACCGCCAAATGGCATTTTTTTTTACTTTTTTTACTAGATCTCCGAAACCGCTAGACCTGCCTTCATGTAAATTTGATCAGTCCGTCATCTTGTTAATACAAGTAAAATGTTTTTTGATTTACTCAAATCGGACTCTTAAAAACTGAGTTACCGTTTTTGGCACTTTTTGCCCCACATCTTCGGAACGGCAAGACCTGCCTTCGCCAAAAACTAATCAGCACGTCTCCTTATCTATACGAATCAAATGTTTTTTGAATTATTCAAATCGCTTTATCCGTGTTCCCGAAATCGTCGACGAAAATTTGTATTCGCACACACACACATACATCCATTTTATCTAAGGTAAAATATATAAAAAATTTCATTTTCGATTTTTTTGCGATTACTATAACTTGCCCTACGGGAAGTTAATAACTAGTGTTTAATGGCATCGTGCCTTAAGGCAAATAGCTGGAACTTCCCGTACCGTAATGAAATATTCGAGGAATGTTAAATGTTTTCAAATAGATTATTTTTTCGAATACTGTATAACTTATATGTTTACAGAAAAAAATAAACAAAACTTAATCAATTGATTTTAAAATGAAGGACATTGTCTAATATTTATAAGAATTATATAAACTAAATTGTAAAGTCAAAGTTATTTATTTCAAGTATAAAAGTGAGCTTTGGAACTTTAGCTAGAAAAAAAAATTAAAATAATTAAATTTTTTTTTTTTTTGAAAATTAAAAAAAAAATTTTTTTAACTGAATAGCAACATTTAAATTATTCATTTGAAGTATATTAGTGAGATTTAGAACTTTAGCTAAAATTAAAATTAAAATCCGAATTATTTTCGGTATACAAAAAAATATTTTTTGGAAACCAACAAAAAAATTGAAAAAAACTCCAAAAGCAATCGTTTCGTTAACACAAGCAGATTTTTTTTTTTTGAATCATTCAAATTGGATGCTCATTTCTCTGGAAAACTGCTATTTTTTGCACATTTAGCTGTGTATCTTTGAAATGGCTGGACCTGCCTTTGCCTAAAACTAATCACTTCTTCTCCCAATCATTACTAATTGAATGATTTTATAATCATTCAAATCGGATGCACCGTTCTCTCAAAAACTCGATTTCAATTTTCTGCACTTGTTGCTCCGTATCTCCGTAACGGCTGGACCTGGCTTTACCACAAACTATTAAGCACATCTCCCTATCCATAGGAATCGAATGTTGTTTTAACCGTTCAAAGCGGTTGATCCGTGAGCCCGGAAACGTGGACGAAAAATTGTATCCATACATACATACACACACATCAATTTTTTCTGATGTATGCCAAAATGTTCAGAAACTTTCAAAACGTGAAGAAATGTAAAAATTTTCAAGAGCGATTTTCGGACGATTACAATAACTTACGGAAAGTTAAATATATATTTTTTGTAAATTTTATTTTTTCAACTTCACCGAAAAAAAAATTCCAGAAAATCCGACTTGCTAATTATATTATACAAATTTTCTTACATGTTTTCGCAAAGATTCTAAAAAAAATCAATAACATTTTCGAAGAAAAGTAAAACATGTAATGATCGGAAGGATGGATATCAAGATGACCATCAGTGATGACAAGAATTTTAAAAGAAAAATAAATTAAGAAATATTATAAATAAATTAAGAAATATTATAGAGAAATTGAAGAGATAATTAAATATAAAGGCTTGTAAATATAGAATAAAATAGATATAATGATATGTATATAAAAAATTATATGAATATTGAAAATTTGTGGTCTCCTAAAATATTATAGGTTTATAAAAAGTGCTTTAAGTTTGTTATAGTTAAAAGCGGTTTAAGTTTGAAAAAGCGAGAAGCGTCAAAATTCCTATATTTAGATTTATTCTGCTAATTTTAAAATTAGTGTAATCTCAATTCTTTTTATGTATATCGAGAAGCTATTTTTAATAATCTTCAAAAGCTTATGTTATTTATCTATTTTGTAGAAAATATTACTTTATACAGATGTCTATATGACGTTACTATACTCAAAAATTATGTTTGATATTTGTCTCAAAATGTATTTGATTTTTTGCACTGTAAGCTTTTTTATTTGTATAAACCAATAGCAAACAATGAATATCGATCAATGTTTTATATTAATTTTTTCTTATGCGTGATTTAAATTTATTATATAACAATACTTTTGTGAGCATTAGTTGTTTCAAAATGTATGTTTTTACAAATACAATAACTTGAATGATATAAATTTATTTAATTCATATTATTAATTTTGAAAAGTTTGCCAAAATAATTTTTGTAGTGGCTGCAATAAATCGATGTTTTTTATTGTGGTCACATTGTGAAATTTTCGCGTGTATTTAAACGTCAAAACGTGACTGTCTTTAAATATAGGTTATATCAAAAATGTCAAATTTGAATGAAAATAAAGAAATGGATACGGGAAAAAAGATATTTTCCGATGAGGATTGGGATAAAATTGCTAAATATATGGTTGGAAATACATATAAATATAGAGAAAATATAATTATACCCAAAAACATAGGACCTATACAAATTAAAAGTAAAGAAGAAAAAATGGTAGAAGCTGCCTTTGAAAGCTGTGCATTCAAATCATTAATGAGCTGTGTTATGGGTAAATAAAATTAAGTCACATACCGAAATCAAATACTTAAAATTTTATTATTTACATAAATGTTTTGAGGTTACGGTTTGGGAGCTGCTATAGGATTATTCTCATCTTCTGTAAACCCGAGTATGGGTGCCCCTGGAGTTGATTTAGATAAACAACCTACAGCCAGAGAGGTCTTCAGAGAAATGAAAGGAACCACATTGTCATACGCAAAAAATTTTGCTATATTAGGAGCTGTTTTTGCAGCTGTTGAATGTACCGTTGAATCAGTGAGTTTATATTGAAGTGCCTTTTTATATTTCTATAACTACAATTAAAATATATTTTTCATTGTCTATTAGGCACGAGGAAAATCAGATTGGAAAAATGGCACATATGCTGGAGGTATCACAGGAGGAATCATAGGTCTCCGAGGTATAAATTCTTAAATTATTAATTTAGAGTACAATAATTTGTATTTTTCACTATTCATGCCTTATGTGTTTATAAATCTGAAATGTATAGATTTTTGTTTTGTTACAGCTGGTGTAAAAGCTGGAATACTAGGCGCTGCAGGTTTTGCAGCATTTTCAACTGCCATTGATTATTATATGCACAGTAGATAATAAAATAAATTTGAAGAAATGTACCAAAACTATATTTATTATCTAATTAGGATCTATAAACATGTAGTAACATCATCATAATATTGTACATAGTTGTATAATAATAAAATAAATAGTGTTAAAATTAAATAGTATATAAATAATAAGTAATCATTATCAAACAGCAGTTTCTTTACTATAAGTCAATACTTTAGATGCAGATTTTAAATTTAATTTTTTCACTGTTTGTTTCAGCGGCGTTATTTTGCCTGATTTCACTTTTCGTAGCCGATTTGGTGTATTGCTCTCTAAGTCTTTAATAGACCTAGCATTTTTAGTTTCATTGATAGAATTTTCCCATTGATTTTCATAATATTCCAGTTCCTTATCAATGCACGGTGGTGACGATTGCAGATCTCCCTTGCATGTAGTTTTTGATTTACCTAATGCAGGAGTCTTAACTGGAGTGTCAAATTTTATTTGCACACCCACATTTGGTTTAAAAGGCAATATGATTGCTGTTCTCGGAATTTCTAGGGCAGGATTTTCAAAACAGCCTTTTTCTTTAGAGGATTTACTTTTTTCTGCCTTTCTTGTTATTTCAAAATCACCTTCTATTGTCTTCAAAGTTGGTTTTGCACAATGAATATCCAGTGCTGGATTAGAGAAAACAAAATTTTCAATTGGTCTGTGTTTGGACGGCTTTGGTTTTTTCTGTGCCCGTACTACTTCATATGGATTTGTTACAGGCTCTTGATTATTTTCATCATTTATTTTTTTATTATCACTAGCTAATTGCATGCCTTTGCTTATTTTTCTTTGAATGGTTTTCCTCAAATTATAAAACCCACTGTTACTTGTAATTTGATTGAAACTCATTGTGCACAAATTCTTAGAAATTTTTAAATATTTCCAATTCACATTAACAATATTCGATATGCGAAATAGATATAACTTATATTATAAATAACGTATAAATATATGAAGAGTAAGATATTTAAAAACAAACAATAATGTAACCAAGAAAATAATTAACATAAAAACATTTGTGTAAGACAGGTGGTAACAAAACTGTCAAAACAGGCAGAGTACCGAATCAGACAGAGAAAACACTTATATTTTAAAAATATAAGATAAACAAGATTTGATAATTACTAATACTAATACTAATTTTAGTTTCGTCATAAAATATTTCAAATGTGATGCTTAATAATATAAAAAACATCAAGTCGTTTTTAGAACATTAAAATATTTTACTTTACTGAACACAACAGACCGTTTCTTATTAAAAAATAATATGAAGTTGTCTTCAATTGAAGAGAACTTCACTGCACATGCGTTTTGGCATTTAAAGATAATGACAGCCCTTGAAAGAACATGGAAAACCGTATAATACGTAGATTAATCGATATTAGCGTGCATTGAGGCTTTTGAGAAGTTTGTGCCAGTTATTATAAATTCAAATAAAGTCAATAGTTCAAATTATATAAAATGTCTGCGTCCAGCGATGCTGGTATTACTATTAAATCAAAACGACCCACAGGTATACATGGTGTTTTTTTAGGATTTGTCATCGTATTGCTTGTTATTGATTTGCTTGAATAATAAAATCATATGCATCTTATATAGAATCAGAGAAAGTGTATAGGAGCGCACATTTTAATTAACATTTGCTATAAATTTGGGGTGTTTTATTATTCTTTTTATGATCTTTCATATGTATTATATTAACTTTATTAAAACATACTCAGACCTTAGTTAATATTTTATGTGTTCCATATGCTATTTGTTCAATTTATTTAATGTTTCTAAATTTTACAAATAGTGGTTTGAACAAATTAGATGAAACTTTTACCATTATTTTAATGACCTCATTTTTATTTCTAGCAAAATTAACTTTGAGGATGCCTATTCATATGAATCGGGCATTTTCTCTTAAGTTGTGAACAATTTGAAAATTATTCTAATACTATCTGTGATACTTATTTTTTTTAATTTGTTATCAACATAGAAGAGCAACAATAGATATCATATTTAACAATATAACATATTATCTATTTCAGATATTGCTTGATTAAATTCATACTTTTTTTATTTGAATATTCAGTTTTTGACAAGAAATATAAAATAATACATATTTATTTTATTTATTATTTAGTAGAATTGCACAAAAATAGTTTTTTAGTTAAATCATTTTTTAAAGAAGTTTTTGACTAGAAATGTAAAATAATATATATTTACTTTATTTATTATAATTTAGTTTTTACTAAATTTTAGTTTAAGTTTAATTTTGTGCAATTCTTTGCACAAAACTAGTTTTTTATCTAAAACATTTTTAAAGAAGGTAAATAATGTTCTTAATTTTTTTTGCCAGATTCTGCATTCAAGCAACAACGCCTTCCAGCTTGGCAGCCGGTGTTAACTGCCAGCAATGTACTTCCTACATTTTTCATAATTGGAATTGCATTTATTCCTGTTGGAGTTGGTTTATTATACTTTAGTGATGAGGTCTGAATTAATATGATTATACATAAGTATTACTGACTTTAATATTATATTTTTTCAAATTGTGGCAGGTAATGGAAAAATCAATTGACTATACACATTGTGTATCTGTAGATTCGAGTGAAAATGTAACATGTGCAGAAGTTATAAAGAAACCCAATATGACTTGTAAATGTGAAATCAATTTTGAATTACCAATGACATTTGAGGTTTGTTGAATTTGGTTAAAAATATTCAAATATTTTAATATATATATATATATATATATATATATATATATACTTAATATATTGATTTTGATATTTTTAGGGTAAAGTTTATATGTTTTATGGATTGAGCAATTTCTATCAAAATCATAGACGTTATGTTAAATCTAGGTTTGTATCTCACGTTTATATTTATTTTACTACATGCAGGTCCCATGCATATCTAAAAAAATTAAATAATGTTTCGTAACAAGAAAATTTTATCTGGTAATGCTTGAACAAATTTTGGTTTACATTTGTTTTAAGCTTTCTGAATAATGCATTATGGACAGTGATGTAGGATATTTTGAATAATTTTTAATACTTTGTATACTATAATACCAATACTTTTATTATTAGAGATGACAATCAGTTATTGGGCCGATTAGGAGAACCTTCCACAGATTGTGCTCCGTTTGATAAAACACCAGATAAAATACCAATTGCGCCTTGTGGAGCAATTGCTAATTCACTATTTAGTGGTAAATATTGAATAAAATTGTTAAAGAAATCTCAATGCATTATTGTATAAATTACATGATGTTTTAGACAAACTGACAATTTATTCTATGGAGCTTGGTGATGATGTACCTTTAATCAGAACAGGCATTGCATGGCCTACTGATAAAGAAATTAAATTCAAAAATCCACCTGGAGACGACCTGAAAAAAGGTAAAATTAATCTGAAGGATTATTTTGAAATATTATTTGTTTAAACAATCACATGTATCAATTGAAAGTTCCTGGAAATATTTTTATCTTTTTTATCATATATGATGATATAAATGATATTCAACACTTGAGCAAAAGTTTATATAATTTATTTTAAATAGCTTTTGAAGGATATGCTAAACCAAAGGCGTGGAAAAATAATATCTGGGAATTAGATTTAGAAGATCCAAGTAATAACGGATTTCAGGTCAGTATTAAGTAATTGAGTAGAAAACATAAAATTTTGAATATAAATGTAATAAACTAAAATCCATAATTGTAATTTTGCCATTTAGAATGAAGATTTAATTGTGTGGATGCGTACAGCAGCTTTGCCAAATTTTAGAAAATTGTACAGAAGAGTTGATCATTCCAAAAAAGATTTTGCAGAAGGATTACCTAAAGGAAACTATACATTAAAAATTGATTACTGTTAGTATCATTGCTAGAATCAGTATTAATGAATAAATACATTCCACTACTTTGTACATATGATTAAATTTCAAACAAATTCTATAATTATATTCAAATAATAATTAAATATAATTTCTTTTAGCTTATTCAGTAACTGAATTTGATGGTTCTAAGAAAATGATTCTGTCTACAACTTCCATATTAGGAGGAAAAAATCCATTCTTAGGTAATTTAAAATAACATATATACAAGAAGCATTTTAATTTTATTAAATATATTTTTTACAGGTATAGCTTATATTGTAGTTGGGTGTGTTTGTTTGGTTCTAGGCATCGCTCTCTTTATTATCCACATTAAATGTAGTCGCAGGTATATTTACTCATAATTTACAGAATTAATTTTCTATATTAATTTTATTTTATATATTGATTTTCTTAGATATGTTTTACATTAAGAAAATGTTTTTATTTACAGTGCCTCCGAAATGATAAATGTGAATCCCAGAACTCCTTATACGTAAAACAGTTAAGTTTGCTGAAAATATTAGAACCAAGTATTAATATATGTTTAGTTAATGCTTAATGTTAATGTGCTTAAATAGTTTAATTAAACTGTGACGTCGAGACAAGTCAGGTTATTGAAGAAAATTAGCTATCTTTCTGTAAATGTAATTAATGTTAGAAGAAAGTGCTCTTATTATATAATAATATATAGTCTATGTTTGAGATACATGTTATTACTTTTAAATATTTATTACATATCGTTCAATTGTGGAAAATAAAAATTTAAAACTTGAAATTACATTGTATTTTGTATTTAAATCAAAATATAATATAATAGTGAAATTTGCTGTTTCATTTTTTTGCTAGATATTTTCAAGAATTGTATTCTAAGAAATTCATACATGGTACTGTTTCTTATATATGTTCTAATAAACTAATAATGCAATTTATTTATTTATCATATTATGGCACATGGTAATATTTCTTATACACTTATAAAGCCATTTATTTATAGGCAATAAAAACAAAGTTAATAATTATTACATTTGTTCTAGAGCAATCAAGTATCATAATTATTTTTGAAGCAATTTGTGCTAGCTAGGTACTAAAATAGATTAGTAACTAATGATTTTTACAAAGATAATGATTTAAAAAAAATGTAAAAAAGATACAACTATCTAAACTATAAACACTACTGGTGTAACAAATTAGCAATTTTTAAGCATATTTTTTTATATATTCTTCATTTCTGATTATTAACTTTGATATTTTTGAAGTATGGCATTTTCTATTATGCATGAATTGAAATCATAATTTAAATCTCGCGCTGAATTGAAATTTGTGCCTGTTCACGTTTGTGTGTGAACCATTCAAAACACGTGCGTCAAATTTACAGGTTAGAAGTACTAGATATGTTTCGAAATGTGTTTTATACTCTGACTATTTAAATGGTTTTGATTATACTTTAAATTTATATATAAGTTTATATACAAAAAAATGTCGTTCTTTATAAAAGGCAAACCTCGAAATAATGTAAACCGAAAATTCGATAAAAATAAAAAAGGAGATAAAAAGGCAAAAATTGAAAAGTTTGAGTCCAAGCAAAAGTCAGACTCAGAAATAGACAGTGACATAGAATATAGTGACGTTCCAGATAAAGAATCTGAGGATGAAATCGAGACTCCACAGGAGAAAAGGTTACGTTTAGCTAAAAAGTATTTAGAAGAAATCGAACGTGAAGAGAAGTTACGTGCCGAAGATAAAGAAGTAGATGACAATGTTACTCAAAGATTAAAAGATGATTATTTAGAACAATCTGGGAGATTAAGGCGGACTGTTGCTGATTCCTTTGTAGGTTTTGAAACTGACTCTATAAAGTACTTAAAAAATGTCCATAAATTGCCTGTTACCTGTTTATGCTTATCTAGTGATAATAAATATATTTTTTCCGGAGGCAAAGATAGCTGTTTAGTAAAATGGTGTGTTGAAACAGGTAAAAAACTATTAGCCCTAACTTATAAACCAAAAAGTGACTCTTCAGAGTTTCGCCATAAAACCATTATCATGGCTGTAGCTATAACGCAAGACTCAAAATTTCTGGCATCTGCAGATCGTACAAAAGATATACAGATTTGGGACCCAGAAAATCTGAAACATTTACATACTTTTAGAGGCCACAGAGGGATAATTACAGGTCTAGTTTTTAGGAAAGATACACATCAATTGTACTCAGCAAGTGAAGATAGGTCAATGAAAGTGTGGTCTTTAGATGAAATGTCTTATGTGGAAAGTATGTTTGGTCATCAAGCTTCCATTACTTCTATTGATGCTTTATCCAGAGAAAGAGCAATTACATCTGGTGGACAAGATAATACAATTAGGATATGGAAGATTGTAGAAGAATCCCAATTAATCTTTAATGGGCACAGTAGCAGTATAGATTGTGTGAAATTGGTGAATGAAGAATATTTTGTCTCTGGTGGTCAGGATGGACAATTATCACTTTGGGGAGCTATGAAAAAGAAACCATTATTTAATATTCCAAATGCCCATGGTGTGTCAGATAGTGAGTCTAATTGGATTACAAGCGTAGCTGCCTTAGTTAACACAGATTTGGTTGCAAGTGGGTCTTGTGATGGCTTCATAAGGCTTTGGAAGTTAGCCGATAATTTTAGAAGTATGACTCAAGTATTAGAAATACCAGTCGAAGGCTTTGTAAATGCTTTAGCATTTACTAATGATGGCAAACATATTATAGCAGGAATAGGAAGAGAGCACAAGTTAGGTCGTTGGTGGACGAATAAAAATGCCAAGAATTTAATATTAATCATACCTTTAATGTTGAAAACTTAATTTATACTTGGACTTTAGATAAATAAACAGAAACCATGTTTTTATTTTGTAATATCTAATTTAAGTTGTACATTTAATAATGTAATGTTTGAATATATTTTATTTCTAGTTAAGTCAAATTTTTTATTTCATTTTTATTAATGTGTTCATATTACTTATCGTTAGTTCACAATTTAATTGATTTAGCAGACTGATTTATGACTATATAAATATATATTTTTTTCTTTTCAATGCTTTTAAGTTATGCATACAGCATTAACCAAGGTTTTAATAACATGCATGGCAATTTTTAACTTCCCGTAGGATGAGTTATAGTAACCGCAGAACAATATCGAAAATGACTTTTTTATATATCCTTACATTTTAAACGTTTCTGAACAATTTGGAATTCTTTAGAAAAAAGTTATGTATATGTGTGTGTGCGGATACAAATTTTCGTCAAAGATTTAGAAAACACGGATCAACTGATTTGAATAATTCAAAAAACGTTCGATTCGTATTAGTGGGGGGCTGATTAGCTTTTGGCTAATACATATCCAGTTGTTTTGAAGATTCGGAGCTATTTTCAAAATGCTATTTTAAAATGGGAAAAATACTTTTGATCTATATTTTCAAGTGCCAAAAGTAGCAATTTAGTTTTTGAGAGGATTTCGTCCGATTTGAATGATTTAATAACATTTTTTTTTGTATTGACAAAACGAATAACTGAGAAAGTTTTTGAAAAGGCGGGTCCCGCGGTTTCGGAGATCCAATAAAAAAGTTAAAATCAAATGCAATTTGGCGGTAAAAAATGACCAATCGACATATGCACAACAAATTTTTAAATTAATTGTTATCAGATATTTTATAGAGATTTTAATAATAAGTAAAAATTTTGTTTATGTTTCTACGGGTTCCGTACCAATATTAATCTGATAGAGTGCAAGGCGGCGATTACGCGCTTCGAAATTTTCTCTCAAAAAAGGCGCGATTGCTTGATTGAAAAGAGTTCAAAAATAATCGAAACATAAAGTAAAATTATTTTTTTTAAAAATAGATTGAATAAAAAAAACAATTGTTGGAAGTTCCAGCAATTTATCATTTTGTTTAAAGTCTTATTATTATTAAGTGATCTATTTTCTTTAGCGAACATCTGAAAATAGCGCCAATAACCATCTTGGAACTACATCACTTCATCATTTTGATGAAGTTTGAACAACGTTAATCTTTAGTCTTACAAGTTACAAGTATTATATTGTGTGGGATCTTTAGGTTATGTAAGTAGATATTCTTGTTTAATTTATTTGTGTTATTATAATTATAGTCTTTTGTAATTGATATTGAAATGAACAATAAATAAGTTTATGTAAAATCAATTATATTCTACTGGAAATTCTTACTAATTGCATGAAATTACTTACTTACGTCCACAGTTTGAAACAAGTGACAGTTAACGGCTCGTCAACAGATTTATCAAAGTAAAGGATTGAAAAATATTAAATTTATTTTTGTAAGTAATTATTTTCGCTAAAAGAACTAAATAAATTTCGTCATCATGTCAGACCCAAAATCAATAATTGATCAGCTCGAAGAACTAAAATTATGGCAAGAAGCCCAACAACAGAAGCTTTTGCAAGAGCAAGAAGCTCAAAGAGAGCGATTGTTATCACAACAACGACGAGACTACGAAGCTTTGGGTCTTTCTTTCAGCTCGGACAATTTACAAATTGAGCCAGAGAACTCAGAAGGTCCCAGTCGTAGAGCTTCTTTAGATTTTCCAATGGAAGGAGTTTCGTCAATCAGTGAAATAGATGTTGATGATGACTCTTCAATGTCCGAGGTTGAAGTTCTACCGGAGCCTCTTAAAAAAACAGATGATGACAAGAAGGAAAAAGATTCAACCAAGTCAAATGCAGATCCTAAACCAAAACGTCCATTTTTGAGAAGGGGAGCTGGACTAATAAAGTATAACATGAATTTGTCTGATTGCAAATTAAGCAATTTACCAAAATATAAATTTGCAAAGCCAATTCAACCAAAGTCAGCAAGAAAATCTTTATTCAGAACTCCAGCCCAACCCAGCCAGAACAAAGATCAGCTAAGACCTAATCCTGATGTTCAGCAAGTTTCTGAAACCAAATGTCACACTGATATGCCGTCTTTAACTGATAAACAAATTCCTGAACAGTGTTGGGCAAATGTTCTTAATAAAGAACCTGTCCAAGAAAAACTTAATGACAGTTTACTAAATCCGGAAGAAAAGCAAGATACAATGGATCTACAGATGTTTGAATTGTTAGAACAAAATGCTAACAATTCCAGTTTTTGTTCTACAAGCAGCCTTGTAACAAAATTTTTGAGTAATAAACCACTCAACATTTATGAAAAAAAGGACAGTTCTAGTGCTCCTGATAGTAATCCTTATGTTCAAAAACCGCGTGTTAGATTTGATGACAAAGTCCAGGTTCAAGATGAAACATCCACCACGGAAACAGAATTACATTCTTATGGTGATTTGAGTAGCATTACATCCAGCTGTACTTCCACACCAAACACAAAACATACAAGCTATCCAGAATCGTGCGGTGATATGTCAGAAGATACCACCTTACAAAGTGAAGATGATTATAATAAAAGGAGTACAACCACAAGTGAAATCAACATTGATGTAATCCAAAATCCTGAAACACACAATCCTGGAATGATGATATTGCAACAAAATAAAATGTTGAAAGAGAGACTTCAAGAACTTGAGAATGAAATTGCCCTGTTTCGGAAACGAAATGTTGAATTAACACGTAGCAGGGAAGAATTTGAGCTACAAAAGGAATCTTTTGAAATGTATAAAAGCCAAGTAGAACAAAATCTAAAGTTAGATAAACTAGAATATGATAATTATATAACCGACGAAAGATACAAACTGCTAGAAGAAAAAAAACTGTTTGATAAAATGACTTACGATTTTAAAAGGAATCCAAATCGTAAAGAACGAGAAGAAATTGCTGCACTTAAAGAAAAAATCATGGATTTACAAACGGAAATACGTTCAAAAGATGCCAAATCTGGAGCTTCGACAGCACGGTTGCGGACACATGTGAAAAAACTTGAGGCTGAGAATGACAAGCACATGAAAAGTATTGAAGAATTGAAGGAAAAAAATAAAAAATTGTTACTAGCTAACAATAAGTACAGGAAATCAGCCAATAAGAAGATGCTGCAAGAGATTCAGTCAAATCTCCCCCAACTCCTAGAAGAGAATTTGGCAAGTACTGCTTCAGATGAAAAGGATAGCCCTGAACAAGGAATAGGAACTAGTAAATCTATAAAAAAAGGATATTTTACAGAAAGCAGTTCTGATGATGAAGCAACTGATATTTTGAAAAAGGAAGTTGTAATGATTGATCAAGAAACAATGACTGATTTCGAATATATAGCAACTAAATCTCAGGAAACCGATACCTTTGATGTACAGGCGGCAAGTAAATCAGAAGGGACTGATGACTTTGTTGCACGAAAGGTACATAAATCTATAGAGACTGATTACTTTGACTATGCAGCATTCAAGAAAATGCAAGCCAGTAGAGTTAAAGCCTTAGAACAAGAAATAGCGAGCACAAGTCATCCCAAACCTAGATTGGTAGAAGACTCTTGTAAATATCCCAGTGAGTTTATGAGAGCAGGCCCATCTTCTACAGATACACGAAATCCACTAAGCATTTCTAATGTACCACCCAAGCTCGATTATTGTTATAAGTCAGATCTTGAGTTGATGGAAAGGATTGAGCGACAAATTCCAAACATTACTATACACCCTGAAACAGAGTGCCAAGAAATTAGGCTTCCTGATGGCAGTACAGAAGTATGGTTTGCTAACGGGACTGTGAAAAAGACTTCAGCAGATGGGTTCACTAAAATAATATTTTTTAATGGAGATCGTAAGGATATTTTACCCACGGGAACTGTAATATATTTTTATGCAAGCACTCAGGTTAAGCATACTACCTTTGCTGATGGCAGTGAACTTTTAGAAGAACCCAGGTAAGTAATCAACTGAAATATATTTGAGATACAGTGGTACCCCGACTTACGAGTGATCCGACATACGAATGTTTCGAGATGCAAGCCGCCAAACGAGCGATTTGTTGCTGGAGCCATCTAGTTTTCTAGAAAAATGTTGATGGCAAAATGAAAATATGAAAATTTTTATCAGTGTAAAAATGATTTTCCTACCCTAGAATTATTCTGGCTGTTTTATGATAATAAAGTATTTTATAGTTAGTCAATTATATATTAAGGGGGTATTCTTTTACTTTTATTTTATAATTTTACTGAGACATGTACAAACAAAATTTTACTGTTTTTTCCAATTTAGAAAAAAAATTGTGTAGTAACAATTTACCCAGACGAATATCGAGTATTATTTTAATGTTTAAAATTTTAACTATACATTAATAGTAATTTTTGTAAAATATGATTCATCATTTTATAACCATGAGTCCAAAGAGAAGGGTCGTGTCCCTCTTGAATTAAATGTGAAATAATTGAAAAATGTGAGGATGGAGATGATATAGGAGCTTAACGTCAGAGTACCACTGTACTTTATCTTATTTAAGGGGGTTGTTCTTTTTTTTGTTAAAAAAATGCGAGGTATTTGTTTTTGTTTTTCTCGAAATGTATTGATCATAAATACATGCGGTTTATTTTAAAGAAAAATTGCAAAATCATAGAATATTATGAAATTTTATAATTTTTTTTTGTCGCCGTCATTTGTTAACCAGGGGGCGCCAAAGTGGGCATTGCAAAATCGATCTCTTTTGCAGTGCCACAGATAAATCCGTTGCGCATCACCTGAAACAAAAAAAAAACGAAACTACGTTGAAGAAGAAGTTGGAATCCAGTCCCCCTACCAAAATAAAAGAAAAAAAGCTAGAAGGAAAAAAATGGCAGCTATTTAAAAAAAAGTGTTAAAAAGAGCCCTTTTTTGGGACGAGAAGCTTCGCAATTTTTTTTTGCGTAATGTTATCAAGTTGTTTGAGGTAGGGGGACTAGGTATTGCAGTGGTGAACAAATTGAAAAAAAATGCAAGTCGATCCGACTTGTAGTTCTTTTTTAATTTGTGGCACCGCATTGAAAAAAGTCAATTTGAGAAAAACGTATTTAAAGTTTTTAATATAATGTACTAAATACACCATTTAATTTAATGTACTAAATACACCATGGTGTTCAAAGATGCTGACACATTAAAAAGGTCATGTGCATGAGGAGTTATAATGAAAAAGAGAGCAGCTGGCATACAATAGCTCCGGAGCGATGAAAAAAACGGTTTCAGAGGATCATACATATAGAGATATATATATATAACTTCGTCAAAAAAATAGATATTGAGATGATTTTTTTTTTAAAATAATTTTAAGGTTTTTAGCTTTCATAATATCAAATAATCTCAAAGTCGAAAAAAAATAAATAAAAAAAGAACAACCCCCTTAAATGGTGATAGTTAAATTGAAATTGATGATGAAAGAATGAAATTTAATGTTTACATTTTACCTTCATCATCTACCATCTCATAAAGTTCAATACATTCATAAAATAATGTCTTTTTTACAGTGGGAGAACCGAAAGACGACGTATTGACGGTTCCGTCGAAATTCATTTTCCGAATGGGATTATTTTATATACAAAACCATCAGATGATAGTTACGAAGAAAAATGGAAATATCCTGATGGCAATTTAGTGATCAAGAAGAAAAACGGTGACAAGGAGATGTACTTGGCTAATGGACAGCGGGAATTTCATACCATGGGCCATCGGGTAACTGTTATAGAAAAATAATTTATTAAGAAAATTTAAACTTAATTTTTAAATATTAAAATCTGGTCTTAAATGAATTTAATACTTTAAAGTAGCATAAGAACACACAGCATAACTATTCTGAAATATAATATTTATTTATTACAGAGGAGGGAGTTTCCTGATGGAACTGTGAAGATTGTTTATCCTGACGGGACCCGAGAAACGCGATATCCCGACGGCAGAGTAAGAATTAAAGATTTTGATGGAAATTTGATAAGCGATACTTATACCACATGATATAAGGTGAGTACAACATCAGACTTATGTAAAAAAATATATGTAAAAAGAAATTGATAACAAAAATTTAAATTTGTAAATTTATAAGGATATTTATTATTTGTACATATGCAATTAATAACAATTCTTATGAAGATATTATTTTAAACTACATATTTTTTCTTTCCATTTTATCATCAAGTTGATCATGTACAGGTAAAGAGAAGTTAAAAGGCTTCATGTGTTCGGTAGTTCCAAATATTTGTCTTAAAGCATCCATGGCAGCTTGATGCTTAGCAATAAATATAGACTCCCCAAATCCTGAAATGTTTATGAAGGAATAAAATCAAATCTGCTCGAAAAAATAGCATGTTTTTGAAGACTTTTGAATTATTGCCTCTTAATTTTCATAATTATTTTAATCAAAAGCACTTCTTTTTGATGAAGAAGAATAAATGTCAGCCTATAATATTTTTTCATTTACCTGTTCCTATCAACTTCTTGTTTAAGTAAATTCCTACATGAAATGTAGCTAGTATAGTATGTGGTGCACTTTCACCGATTAAACGTGGTTCAATTTCACCTTGATCTTTGCACAGTTCACTTAGCATTTTCATTGGGTCATCTATTTCCCATAATTCGTTAACATCAATTCCATTTAACTGTGTACAAATGAAATCTCTAATGAACTCATAAGCCCTAAAAGTTCCTGATGATTCGTTCAGGGCTCCAACTATTGCTTTTAAGGTGTCACTTAAAGATTTATTTTCTGCAGGATATTCCTGAAATGGAATAAAATATTTAAGATTGGTTATACCACCTTTGTTAGATTATATTGTTGGTTGTTTTTTCTATATTTAAAGTTGAATCTTTACTGTTACTGGCAATTGATTTAAAAAAAAAAAATCAATCTTTATCTATGATAAATTTTATGCTTATCTGCATCATCATATCTTATTCATGACACATTCGAAACCTTTAATATAATCAACAAATGATAAAATTATATTTGTGGTAAAACATTTGGCTTTCATAATTACCGCTGACAATATAATTTCTTTGGTTCCTAAATGTGATGAGACGTTTGCTAATACTTCTTCAGAGGTTAAATATGATTTGATTGCATTTATTCCATCTTTGGGCAATTTGGGTAATGATTGTAGTAAAAATTTTTCTACATATTCAGAAATAAGTTCTTCTCCAGATATAATTAACAAACGATTATCCTTCACTTCAAGAACTGGTTTCTCTATTCCAACTTCTATTTGTTTCATTTCTTCTTGAATTACATATGACCTGAAATATTTTAGTTGTTTAAAACATTGGCTTAGATCAATAATCTTTCGTAAGGTAACTATACCTCTGAGTAAACGCTTGTTGAAGTAATGTTAGATTGAAATTTTCATTCAGGCGCTTGCTGAATGCATATAATTCCGCATTGAAATTCCAGTCAATAAAAGATGACCGTCTTGCAACAGGCTCAGGTCCCATTTTGTCTTTTCTTCTTTTCAACTCTCTTAAAGTAGGGGACACCCATCGTTTTATGGACCTTGTAGCTAAATAGATTTTGTTCATAAGCATTATGATTGTAATAAACATATTAAGCAATTACAATATGATAACGTTTAACCATGTTATTAAAATCAACAACATTACAAAAAATTATTTGTTTCTGAACATTGATGCAGATTTTGTGATAAAATTAACCAATTTCAATACTTGCAAATACCTTGAATTGAGTTGAATATTTGTTTATTTGAAATATTTAAAACCTTACAACATTCGCGCATAAACATTATGTATTTCTCGATGGAAAATTTAACAAAATAGTTGTTTCATATATTAATTAGGTTTGAGTTTGAGATTTTCATAACCTAACTTTGCTGACAAATTGAATAATTTAGTGTTGCCACATTTGTGTTGGTATTCGGCAGTTGAAATCGTGGCGGGATGAACGTTAAATTTAAAATATAATTTCAACTAGTGAGGTGCATGGCATCATTGAGGCAAATTGCTGGAACTTCTAGTACCAGTTTAAATGTTCGAGGACAAAAAGCAGTAATCAATAAATAATTATTAACGATTAAAAACAATTGTTTTAAACATTTTCAAAGAGATAATTATAAATACTATATATTTTATTGCTCATATTATAAAGCGACGATCTTATCACATAAAACACTTGAAAATGTTTACATTAACATGCCGAATGAGGCAAGAAAAGCATTTTTTTTGTTGGTAGTTTTTTTTTTGGTTTTCAACTCTTTTATTTTTATAATATCTAAATACCATTTTTTGAAGTTACTTAATTGTTTGATAAGATGTATTGTGATTTTTAAGTGAAGTTCAACAGTTTTTTCGTACCTCTATAAAGCCTTACATGGGGAGGGGGTAAAAAGAACCAACCTTTACACTTCCAAAGGTGTTAACAATAAGAAAATAGTAAATTAACTTAAAAAAGGCTATTTTACAAGAAATAAATGAAATTAATAGTTAATCCAAATCTGCTGATGAATAAATATTTCTGACAAAGAAAACAACAAGTGATCTTTGTAAAAAATGTAGCATTATTTTTTTTTAAATCAATAATAATATAATAAAACTGTTCGCCACTGGCTGTCCCTTTTTAACCCGGCTATGTGGTAAAAAGGATAATAAGACAAGAAAAATAGTAAATAATATTTTCATAAATAGGAATTAATTGATAATTTTATTGAACATAGTTCAGTACATGATTATTTGATACATATTCTGTTTTGTGATATAGGTTATTTGGTTTACACAGTACAATTACTAAAACTCAAATTCTCTTGCTTCACTTTATTCTATCATTGTTTTAATCTATAGACCAATTCGGCCACTTCTGAATTTCAGAATAAAGTGCACTTCCAGGACTTAGTCTTCCAATAATTTGGCAATGGCCAACTAATTTGTAATTTTCTTGTAAGTATCCTGATTGTGATGCGTAATTTAATAGAAGACGGCAGGCCTTCAAACTTTGCTCAGACGGCAGAACTGAGTTGAATGTTCTAAAAATATGGAAAGAATATCAATTATGAACTCAAATGGTATGTTAATAGACCTTATTTACTTAGAAAACAACGATTAGTATTTGTAAAGCTTGCTAAGTATGATCTAATATAATTATAAGTTAAAATTAATTATTATAGGAAATCGTAATCTACATTATTTTCTCGATTTGCTTTTTGCCAGGAAATCCGATTGGCTAATTTTATGCTTTTTCGACTTTTGACCACACATTCTGATTCTGAAAATTGGAAAAAGTATGTTTGTGTATGTGTATTTGCATGAGGTCTAAAATTCGGCCTTTTGGCAAGGATTTCTCAAAATCGCTATCGAATTTCTTTTACATCTCCTCTGTATAGTTCTCCATACGATGACCCTTCAGTTTTTTGATCTGATCAAAAATCGAATTTTAGCAGGCCAAAAACGACCAAAATGTTGAGAAAAATTTAACTTTTTTTCTTAACATGCCACCATTTTGTCAATTTTTTATTTACTTGTTCGCCCGAGGGTCATCGTACAGACAATATGTTTAACGAGATTTTTTTATGTTTTATCAACGGAGAAGGCTGCAATCACTCTAGCAGTGGAGGACCTTTTTTTTGGTGCCGCCGGAGATTGCGTGTCATTTCAAAAATATTTGATATTTTATTTCAAAAATTCAAAAAAACATGTATAAATTTACCCTCAAAATTTTTAATCGATTGATTCACTAGTTTTTTTTTGATCATTTTCTAGGTTGTCACACTAAGTGTGCCACTTAATATAATTGCAAACCTGAATTTCTGTTGATTATTTGTACGTATCAGGCAAAATTGTTTTTACACTTAGTTTTTTGAAAATAATAAAGTTTTTCTTCACGTACCCTATAAAGGCTATGCCTAAACTTTTACAGTTGTAGCCAAATGTATGAGAACCTTTACATTTCCATCCTCTGCCTTCATACACAATGCCATCATCTCCAATTAGAAAATTATATCCAATATCGTTCCAACCATTCGACTCGATATGATATAATTGAATATGTCTAACATGAAAAATATTTCCTGCTCTATTTCTGCTACTTTCCGTGGCAGTGTGACCTAAAATTATTTATTGATGGTTTTAGTGAATCAAATTTTTTTACGTGGTAAACTGAATTTTGTTGATTAAAAGCTGGCAAGAAAGAGTTATTATTATATATAACCAATATATAACCAATCAAATTGATCAGTTTGAAATTGAATTTTATCAACATACATATTATGGCATATTCAACTGGATTTTCTAAAACTTCTGTTGCCAAAGGTGGTTGAGCTAACCAGTATCTTCGTTCTAAAAGTCTTAATCCTTTAATAAGCGCTGAAAATACGAAAATGTAGCAAACATTAGCACTTTAGGTTGCACTTACGAACCTTGTTAGTAATTTTTATTTAACAATGAAAATTTATATAGCTTTTTGCTTTTATGTGGTATGAAAAATGTTGATGCAGTTGATATAATTTCACATTTATTTATAATTTTTAATTTTTTTATTATTTTATTAAATTATGTACGTTTATGAGTTTATTATTTTCTGCTCTCTTCTACAACATTAAATTTAAAATTTTGAAATTCAAATTATATATAATAGAGAAATATTCAGAAAATACTAGCAAACCGGGCGAACTTCGTTTCACCACTAGATGGTTTCATTTTATGTAACATTTCGTTTGGTAATTAAAAGATGAAGAAAAAAATTGCCTACTGTTGAAATTGAATAAAAATTTGCACAATAAACGTGATTGATTTGGTGGTTTCCAATTGGAATATTAGGAAAAGGAAACTTATTTTTTTTACTTTTTTTGCACGATTTCACAGTGAACACAATGCCGGTTTGTCACATGAAATTAATTGAGCATAGAACAATGAGTAGCTGTCAAACAAATGAGTGGCAGTGAAACAAAAAATATTAGTTTGTAGTACATGCTAAGTATCAGAGATGACGCTGTATGTGAAAAAAGAAAAGGTGTTTCTCGCTTTTCTGTTGAAATCTTTCTTCAATTTTCTTTACTATAAACCTCACGAAGTCCGAGTCCTTTCCAACGAATGCAAAATCGTCGAAATCGGTTCTTGCGTTCTGGAGTTATATCGTCAGGAAGGAAATAAAATAATAAATCAATGGCAATAAATAGAAGTTGCCAATACCACTTCTATCTCAAATAAAAAAATGCAATTAAGTCAATGATAAAATACGATTTACTAAGATGCAAGTAATTGATGATATTTAATAATGTTTTTGCCAAACTGCATTAAATTGAAAAAAATACAACAACCGAAATTTTTGTCAGTTGACTTCATGCTATAATCTTTCCAAATAAAATTGCAATTCTATTGATTACTGATTTAACCTCACCATGTCTATGAAAATCTTGACTATTATCTTCTGATTTATTCTTAGTTTCAGTAATATTGTTTACAATATCATCTTGAAATTTTTGATTCACCATAATCTGGACGGGTCCATTAAAGTTTGTGATGTTACCAATGACTGTATCTTTGGATTTGGTTATATTTATTGTCTTTTTTCATTAACAACTGAATCTTCTAAACATAATTTAGCAAGATTATTTAAATTTTCTGATGTTTCATCATCCGATCCATCGTATGATGATACTGTAGTAGAAATTGATGTTTGAGGGAAATTTTCATCTGCACTTTCAGTAATTATATTGTCTTGATTTGGATCCATTTAGACTTAAGTCATAACTAACATATAGTAGATTATTTTACAGGTACATTCTATATTTCATTTACTTCATTTATTTTTAGAGCTTTTTCAAAACTAGTAGCACATCAGTTTGCTAAACTGCTAAAACACTTTACCAGATATTCATTAAAAATTTTATATTATATATTAATTTATAATATAAATGCTATTTGATTTCTTTCTCAACATATTATATTTTCTATATTCAGATCTTTTCATACTTTTTGACACTATTTTCAATAAAGAAATGATGCATTGCTGTAGTGTCATACATTTTTCTGATTATATATATATATATATATATATATATATATATATATATATATATTATTCAAATGATTTGCTTATACAATATTATTTCTCACTAGAGATAAATATTTGTAATGCGGTTTTATCGTACTTTACAGATCCACGGAAAAACCATAAAATATGACTTAATAATTACAGTACCGAATTTTTATCCTTTATCACAAATTATTTATGAAATTTAAATTTTAACATATTGATAAATCATGGTGCATGGCATCGTGCCTTAAGGCAAATTGCTGGAACTTCTCGTACCAAAAATTAATATTTTTAAAAAAGATACAATTTTTTTAGAACTCTGAAAAAAATCGATTTTTGAGATTTTTGAAAAAAATTTACATTTAAAAAGAAATTGTTTTTTTAATACTTTAAAATAGTTTTGAAATTTGGAACTTTGGAAGCAATCGCGATACGTTAGCTGCGTAGAAACGAAATATCGAAGCGCGTGGGCGCCGCATCGCAGTATAACGTCTAAACATTGAAACGGAACTCATAGAAATGTAAACAAAAATTATTCTTATTATTAAAATATCTGTAAAATATATGGTAATTTGATGTCTAATGATCATTTTTGCCCGCCAAATGACATTTTTTTAACTTATTTTTATTGAGAGTCCTTAACCGTTGGACCTTCCCAAAAATTTTACCAGTTGTTCACTTTGTCAATAGAAGTAAAATGTTTTGAATTATTAAAATCGGACGCTCCGTTCTCTTAAAAACTGAGTTACCATTTTTGGCAGTTTTTGCCCCGTATCATCGGAACGGCTAGACCTGCCTATGCCAAAAACTAATCAGCACGTTTCCTTATCAATACGAATCGAATTTCATCGGTGTTCTCGAAATTGTCGACGAAAATTTGTATCCGCACGCACACACACACATACACACACACATCCATTTTTTCTATGGTATGCCAAAATATTCAGAAACCTTTGAAACGTAAAAATATATAAAAAGTTTCATTTCAATAAATATTGAATGATATAATCAATTGGAAGTCAATATCTTTTTATTAAAATAGAAAAAGTATACAAATAAATGAAAATATTGGCAGTATTTAAATTTTAAAATCAATATATAAATTATAAGTCTATTACTACAATTAAAACACATTTGTACATAATCATAAAATATTTATTTATAATAATAATATATTTTAATATCTATACATAATTGTTCGATAAAGTGAAATAAACAACAATAACAGGAATCTACAATAATACATATCCAATAATAGCAATAATAATTAATATAATTACGATCATTTATATTTAGATGATGCTATTTAGATTCCTAAAATGATAACTAAATCACATAAAACGATAAAATAGGCGTTCGAGTCTTGTGCAGATTTACACAGCACAGTTTTGAAATTAAAATATTAGAAAAAAAATAAATAAATTGATAAAATGAATTGTTTTTTAGGTAATTGCGCATATTTGAATTTTGGGATAGCTCAGAGCTTCTCAATCTTTCACAGTTTGCAGCGGGCATTTATCGCTAACACTATTTGCATCAGATCATCAGATTTTTATCTAAGTTTTCGGCTTAATAATCAACACAATAGCTTATAGAATTTTTTTTTCTGATTGCTATTTAATTATTGTAAAAAAAAGTTTTTGGCTTGAGTTAAAAGTTGGTAATGTTTTTTTCTTAAAATGCAAAATAAACTTTTGTTACTATATATGAAATTTAAAAAATAGTTATTCTAATGAAATAATAGAATTGTTTACTTGATCATTTTGGGGGTATAGAAACCACATAAAAATATAATAAAAAGTAGTGCATGCGTTCAATATCGTACTATTTTTTTTTGTATATTTTACATTTCAAATATAAATATTTATTTAATTTTTTTTATGTCTTTAATAATTTATTATCATTTTCTTCTAAAACTATGCCATGAAAATTGCACTTGGCTCAAGTAGGCTTGGTTCACATGGAAAGAATTTTCGTATTTTTTATGAATGTTTTAAATAATGTGGAAAATATCTTCTTTCGTATAAATTCCTATGCAAGCCTATTATTAATGTAATAATACTACTGATGAGGTATATGTTTATGATGGAATAATATAAATAATTTTTGTATAACTAATGAATCTTAAAAGGCTAAAAGGGAATTATATGATATGTTCAACAAACTAAAGATGATTTATATATATATATATATATATATATATATATATAAATGTATTATCATGAATCATCTTAAACTAGTAACACACTTTTAATGATATCTACAGCTTATTCTAACCATTGCTCAAATATTTTTTATTTTGATAAATAAACAGAAAATAAATCTGTTTATAAAAATTAATTTGAGCAATCAGTCACTAAAACAATCATAATGTTATGTAAGGCACTTTTTGTTAATCAAAATATTTTTAGAAAATATTATATATTCTTGAAAAATATGTACATAGATATAATATCAAAATATGTAAAGTCTTTTTGAATTTCGGCACTGTTTTGTTCGGTTTAAAGTACTTTTTGAGATATATTTGCTAATGTCCATTTGCTTTATTTGTGGGCTCATTTGAAGCAAAAATTATGGATCGTTAATAGCAATTTTTTTAAGCTCATTCATAAATACTGTATAATTATTTCATTTTTTATCGTTTTTTATTATTGAAATGCCCACAACAAGTATACATTCAAAATCAAACTATATGGTATTAGTAGTATATAAATAATTATTTACTTCTACTAATTAATATTGTCGAATTCATATTCTATTTCCATCCCTATCCCTTTTTTATAAATCGTGTTTCAATAATTTACCTCAAAATGAGATCTAAAATATGAAGAAATGATATACAATTTCATCTATACTTATATTTTAAAAGTGCACAATTAATAATAAAAAGATTATTTTACTCTCGTTCTTGAGAATTGAGATTTGGTCTTTGGCAATACACGTAACAATATTCTGAACTTTTCATAGCTTTTAATATAAGTAAAAGTACAAATGATATTAACTTTATAATTTTTTTTTTATAAAAAGCCAAAATTTTCTCACGTGCGCCAAAAATTGTGCTACAAAAGTAAAACATCTGGTGCTTAACATATTTTTGTTCAAGCACTAAAAATAGTGTTTAATTTGACCTTAACCACTTTGGTTTATATTTAGCAAAAATTTATTAAAAGCGATATAAATAATATTGATAATTAAGTACATATTTTTATAACACATATGTTTTTACAGTCTTAATACAAGGTCAATATTTTATGAAAGCACGATGTTTTTGAACGACTTTTATAGACACTTATTGATTTTATTATGATTCGATAATCAGTTGAAAAACCTTACTTTTTAACAAATAATATACATCAATACTCTGATAGATTTTAAACTGATTATTAAATTATAATAAAATTTAGTTTTTTTTGCCTTTTGAGTGTTTGTTAATATTTTACATTACATAATGATTTTTTATATTCATTGAATGATTCACCTAACGATATGTTTAACTATATTTACAAAATATGCGAATTTTTCGCATATTTAAGTCGCTAAATAATATTTCCATATTTTATTATAACTTACTCATAGTCAATACTTCGTTAATTTTGTTGCTAATGAATGAAGACGATAAGTTTTCTTGTCAAATCTTTTCTTGCACATATCTGAAAAAAAAATTTCTGTAAGTTATTACAATTTAAATTTGTTTAATAATAGTCTCAGATATAAGATTCTGATGATAGAGTATGAATCTCAGGATAATAAAATTTCAAGTGTTTATAGTCAAAAAGATTTTCAAAAATTATTATAGGTCTAAGAATAATGATGATAATATTTAAATAATGTTTATCATGCTCTAGAGTAATCTGCTATCATATTTCCATGCATTTGCACATTATTTTATATAGCTAGAATTTTTTAAAACATTTTGCAATTGAAGAGTTCATTATTGCTTATGCAATAGCAAAAAGCCTGCATAGTAACATTGGTCGCCTATTTTTTTTTAATTTAATTTTTATATTCATACATATACATATTATATCTACTACTAATTTATATTTATATTATTGAAATCATTATTTTCTTTATTGGTGAAGACAACATTCTAACATTTGAGTTGAAAGAATAATGCGTCAGGAGCAAATTATTGCCAGATTCATAATCTGATTCTGATTGATGAAGATTCAGAATCATCAATCAGATTGATGATTTATTTAAGAAATTAAATGCAATGGCAGTGTTTGAATGTACGTCTACAAAATGACTAAAACGTACGGCAAATTGCTGGAACTTTCCGTACCAGAATTAAATATTCGAGGGAAAAAAATCAGTAATCAATAAAAAATTATCAATGATTTACAACAATTATTTACAACTATGTATTTTATCGTTCATAAAATATACAATGACGATCTTATCGCTCAAAGCACCTGAGAAAGTTTACATTAGCAAGAGGTGCCGAATAAATTCATCTGAGGATATATTTCTTATGATTATAATAACGCTTTTGAAATATATACATTTTCAAACTGAATTGTAAATTTAAAATTAATATTTGAAGTATAAAACTTTGTATATTTTTGCAAATTTTGAAAATTTGGATTTTTTTTTTATAAAGTTTTGAAATTACCTTGAACTGTATAAGTAAACTTTAAAAATTAACAATCTTGGTACGGAACACAACAAAATTAGCACTCATTATTAAAAATTGTAAATATTTTTTTTTACTTTTTCCTTTGTATCTCCGAAACCGCTTGACGTGCCTTACCAACAATTTCGTCAATTCTTCATTTCGTCGATACAATTAAAATGTTTTTTGAATCATTCAAATCGGGTACTCCGTTCTCTTAAAAACTGAATTACCGTTTTTCACAATCATTCAAATCGGTTGATTCGTGCGCCCGAAATCGTGGACGAAAAATTGTATCCAAACATACATACATACACACACACATACATGCATCAATTTTTTCTAAAGTTTGCCAAATGTTCAGAAACCTTCAAAACGTGAAGATATGCAAGAATTTTCATTTTCGATTTGTTTGCGATTACTTCTTATCCTACGGGAAGTTAAAAATTCGAAATGTTTTTATAAAGTAATTAATTAATTAATTTTTATTTACCTTTTTCTGGAAGTATTTCAGTGGTTAACCGAGTGTCTTTTTCGATGATTACAGGTGGGTGATGATAATATCATCATCCAAGTCGTCCTTTTCATCATCGACCTCTTCGACGACTTCAGGATGGGCAGCTGCTTCAATGGCGGCTGCTTTCGGGTCCTCGCGCATCTTCCTCAGACGGTGAGCCTAAATTTTTTTAAAAAATTCATTTAATTTACTGTTAAGGGTTTTTCTAAATTAACATTTACTAACAATTTTGCTGAAAACATTGAAAATTGATTAACTTACTAATTAATGCATGTTCATGGTGTTTTCTTGAATTTTCATTTGCATTTTACATTTACTAACTAGTGTGCTTACTAACAATTTTACCGACTCAAATTTTGGTTCACTTTTAAGATACGTGTTTGCGTAAAAGACGCGTTTTTTGTGGATTTGTGAAAGTGCTTTTTTACAAATATTATGTGCAGTGTTTCAAATACTTATTTTTGATTGTGATATTGTTATTTAAAATTTAAAAACAAAGATCTAAGCAAATGAACTGCGAGACTCGTTTGAAAAATCGTATGAAAGACATACGTTGTCAGCTAAGATTACATTTTCAATATTATCTTACTCGTTATCAGAATATATCTAAAATTCAAATTGCATATATTTTATAGAAATATATTTTGTATCTTAACTTTCAATTAAATATTGCAGGTGCGTTGTTTCTTCTAATCATTTAGTAGCAGAAGTGCTACATAATTTAATTATAATAAACTAAATATTTTGTTTTAAAATGTTGCAATGAATTTTTTATGTGATTGTTTGTCTTATGTAATGAAATTTTATATGAATTATATTAAAATACTTTAGTATATAATCATTTAGTAGCGCAGGTGCTACATAATTCCTCTATATTAATCTAAATACTTTGTTTTAAAATTTTGCAATGAGTTTTTGTTGTGATTATTTGTTCTATATAATGAAATTTTATATTAATTATATTGAAATACTTTATGAATTGTTGAATAATACGAAAACTCATAAGAATATTCGTTTGTTTCATTTTGCTTATAAATTAAAAGAAGTTTTGGAAATGTGTGATGTTTAATTGTTTAATGTTTAATTTTTGATCACGTTTGTATAGGAGGAAAAAAAAATTAACGAAATAATTTTTTTTACAAAATATACAAAATGAATATTACAACAATTTAATTTTGCTACATATCAAGACTGCAGATAATGGACATACCAGATTTCCGTAATGTCTTTCATCATATAAAAAAACTTTTTACTGACAAAAAATTAATAAATGGAAAATTAGAAGACTTCACTTGCATCCTGAATCAAAGACGGATGCTGCACGAGAGAGAAATTGAGAGAGTTTGGAGCATAGCTCTGTATGGATCAGAGACATGGACTATAAGAAAGGCCGACAAAACCTATCTGGAAGGTTGTGAAATGTGGTACTGGAGAAGGTAAAGTGAACAGACAAGATAACAAATGAAGAGTGGGCAAAGAAATGACTCTACTGAGCACGATCCTGAAAAGCAGAGAAAACTGGATAGAAAAAAGAATGTCTCCTACACGACGCAGTCGAAGGTAAAATAGAAGGACTGAAAGGAATAGGGAGAAGAAGAATGCAGATGGTTGATGGCTTACGCGAGAAAAGGAATTACAGGGAACTAAAAGCCGAAGCATAGGACTCAGGAAGCATGGATATAGTGGTTTCAAAAGGACATTTCATAATAAAATGAATAGAAAGTGATTAATGGTAATAAAACGGTAATGGAAATAATAAACAAGGGAGGGTAAATCATTTATTTTGTGGTGCTATATATGTACTTTGTGGTACATATACTTGTGGATTTATGGTGCTCGTGTTGAAAATAGGAAAGTGAAATGTGTTAATATATTTTTTCAATATTTGTGGTTTTCACATAAAAAACATCAAAAGTGCAACTCCAGTGCTTTTCATCTAACGATTCATCTTACCGGTTCCACAACGTCGCTTCTGATATTTCAATTTTTATCCGAAAGCGTATTTTTTTAAATAAAGAAACATTCATTTGAAAATATAAATCTTAATAGTTATGAATTTTTCATAAATCATTAATTTTCCCATACCTTGCGCCTGTGAACATATTCCACGCTCAAATAGCCAATGAATCCTAGACCCAAGACCGTCAATTGGACGTAAAGCTTCATGGCCGCGCACAAGTGTGTGCTGTAAGCGTAAGCGATGACAAACCCTGAGCTTTCCCACAGACGGTAGTTGGAGAAAGCTGCCTCTTTCGTCCGCCTGAACAGAGTTCCGTATAGACCTGGAAGAAAAATAATAATTGATTACAATTGTTGGCAATTGATAGTTATATACCTCTAATAGCCCGGTCAATTCACGCATTCAAGGTTACTATAATTCATAATGGGTTGTAACTCGGCAAAATGGTTTAAAATACAATTATAAAAAAAATCTCAAAAGTCCTCATCGATCCGATGCGAGCTAAAATAATGGCACAAGGTCAATGTTAAAAAAAATTATCCTTTTGCAGTTTTTAGCTAAATGGTCAGTTTTATCGCAAAATTACGTGAGACAATATTGTATGGCATAAAACTATCTACCAAAAATGCATAAATACTTTTTTTGCTCAGAGCCACCGTTTTATAGATACTTTGAAAAGTAGTGCAGTAAACGGAGCGTTTTAGGTCTGAATTTTTTTACTGTGCTCCAAATTGAATAAAATTTTGGAATTAGGTTTATCTTATCCTCAAGTTCAAAAGTGAAAACCATTCGGGTTGCGCCATCACCCTTCGGGGGGATGATACCCCTTCTCAATTGTGTAATTACATTTTTTCAAAATAACGTCGGAAATCGATAGAAGAACTAATTGTCTTTTATAGTTTTTCAAAAAAACTAATACTTTTCAAGTTACTGGCCACTGAAGATTCATATATTTTTGGCGTTTTTCTTCGTTTTTTTGCAAATATCTCCTAAAATATACATTTTAACGAAAATCATGTAATGAACAAAATAATGTCAATGAAAATCTTAATAAATCGGTGTTTTATAAAGTGTTCTAGGAATAAGATTAAGCAAGATTTGAAAGAGCAAAGTCGTTTTTTATTTTGTTCAAGATTTAATTGTTGTATTAAAAGCCATCTAGTGTCGAGGTTTTACATTTTATGCATTTCGGGGAAAACGGGTTTTATAGTGCTCAACATAAGCTTTAAAATGAGTGCTGTTACAAGTTTTTTGCGTGTAAAATGAGTGAGCTATTATACAAATAAGAAGCATATACGAAGTTTTTTTCTTTTAAATCATATGGTTTAATGAGCGCCATTTCCACCAGAATTAAAGTAAATCATTTCAATTTTTCAAATTAATATCTTTATATTGTTTCACGAATGTAATCATTAACCAAGTCTTATATACTCACTGAATATTATTTTTATGCTTTTTCTTCTAATTTTTTAAATAATTTATGTGGATAAAACCCCTGAACCCCCATTGAAGACTTTCGATCACACTGTGACTCGAAATATATGGTAGTATTTAATTTTTCTAGAAACATAAAATTGTTTTCTTTCGATTGTGGAAGCATGTTGAAAATCTGTTTTTAAAAATAAAAAAAGATAGATTTTTTTATGGCTGAATAACGTTTACCGGGTCAGCTAGTATATATATCATTATTAATATTATACTTAATTATTTTTATTTTATCCAATTTTTTTTCGTTACAACTAGCTTATCCACATCAATCAATAGCGGTTTCAAATAAATATTGAAATAAAAGAAAGTATATACATTGCTGTTTTATAAAATCAGTAATAGAACAAATATTAGTATAAGAAAAACGAATAAAAGTTTATGATAAATTAAGCTCTGAACTTAAAGCAACTGATCGCAACAAAAAGTAAAGTGCTGATCCTAACAAAATCCAATCCAAAACATTTCCATAGCTTTTCAAGATCCGTTTTTTACGTCTAAAAGCGGTAATATGATTAATTAATTATTTTTGCGTCTAATTAATATTTTTCTGTGCATTTTTTATTTTTCGCAAATTAATTAGCCTCATTAGTTATGTCCTTGATGACAATATGATATTCGCGTGACGACCGGACATCACGATAAGTGGAAGCAATTTGATGCGACAAAATAATCATTTACGCTACAACGCGATCTATCACCGCATACGATATTAAAATATTGGATAGGAAAACGATATCACGAAAATTACGAAAATTATAAATTGATATTGGAAAGAGTCACTTTGACGCTGTGTCTGTAATGAATAACTTGACGTAGATTTATATTATGTAAATCTATTTAATTATCAATTATTAGAATATGTTTTTGATCCAGGGTTTTTTTTATTACGATCTGCCTATATTATGAGGATATTAAGTAATTGATTTGATATCCTGATGTATGGCTAATTTGGAAGGCAACGGCAATAGTTGTCCAATTCTAGTCGTGGTATATTATTTTATGCAACAGTACCTCCGAAAGGCGGTTTTATTTGTGATCTATAACTTCAAGTTCAAACTTGATATCATTCTGCTTGATATCAAGCAGACCGTGTTTGAGATCGACGTGGAACCGGGAATTGTATGCTTTAGGCTGTTTTGGTGGTTGTTTTATGATGATTATTTTTACTAATGGGTGTTGGAGTACTAATGGTTGTTGGTAATTGGATAACTTAATTGTTGTTATATTGTATTATTATTATTTTTTTAATAAAAGTAAATCCAATGGTTGGCCATATCTGGTTGCGATAATATTTTAACATTTTATGGTGAGTTGGGACTAAAATTTTACGGAAGGGTTATTTTATTTGTGAACATATTTTTGATCATTATTTGAAAGTAAACATGGTTATTACTGCTACTTGGTATCACATTTTATGCAAAGTGAGATTTCAACTAGGAACCTTGCAAGATAAAAGTGTTACCACTTGCGCCACATATTAAGAAAAGAACAAAAGAGATTTGATTAAAGATTTGTTGGAGATTGGATTCAATAATTTCAAATAAAAAGATTTAATTTGTATATTCAATTTTTTTCAGCCTCAACTTACGAAACGTATGCAAATGTGTATGTATTATATGTATGTATTAGTATTATATGAATATAATAATAACAAAACAAATATTCATTTGTATATTTATATAATTAATTGTGTAATGTTATATTTTCGGCCATACATTTGGACACCATTGGGGCGCTCTAAATGAGCCAAAAAAAGATTTTTCAAAATTTGACCCAATCTTCGATCGACCTAATGAGTTATGACTCATTCGATTATATTTTTTTCAGCTTGAATTAATTAACTTTTGATGAATTTTGGCCCATCAATTTTGCAATAGGTTCGGTAAATGTTTACTTGTTAACTTGTCATCAATTTTGTGACAAATCCATCACAAATGCTAGTTTCCGATTCTTTTTTAGATGCAAAGGCACTTCGTTGTTAAAATTATGTTTTTTAAGATTTAATTTTGTATTTCAAAATTCTTTGAAATCATTGAATATCATTAAGATACGAATTTCATACCATACCATATTACATGAATTTTGTTTGTTGAGAGGTCGGAAAAAAATTTAATATAGAAATAAAATTATAAAAAGCAATACTTATCAATTGCAATTTACAAAATAGTGCATTATTGCCAATTATCCAATCGAACTATAAATTTTCTTGCATGCTAGGCATATATCCCGACATGCATATTTTCTGTCAATTTTCAATTCATTAACTCTCCTATTTTCAAATGTAATTAATTTAAATCTAAATTGCTGAATAATTTGTATGCACGCCATATTTTTTTATGTAATTCTATTCCCTGAACAATAATTTAATTGAAGATTCATTTGTGTGTACCGAATAATAGCTCAATCACGTAAACAGTGAAGATAACCGTCACAGATTATTGTAATTTGTCACTAATTGCATTTTAAATATATCTGTGCCAAGTCATATTGTAAGTCATTTTTATCCCGTTGGGTTATGTAATATGGGATATTATAAAAGCACGTGCTGGATCCTATGAATTATCTATACATTTACATTTTTACAATTAGCCCAGGGCATTTAAAAAAATAGAAGTTTATGTTTTCGTCCAAAAATCCGATTTGCTAATTTCATGTTTCTTCCACTTTTTAAGTAATTCTGAATTCTTCCTGACCGAACTTGGAAGAAGTATGCTTGTGTGTATGTAAAAAATCAGACCAAATACTGTCATTTTGTCGAAAATTTCTTAAAAACTGCTGCTTTGATCTCAAAAGTTTACAAACTCGAAAATTGATTAGTTGATTAGTTTTTTGCAACGATCAGTCTAGCAGTTTCTTTAGTAGAAATATTTGCAAAATGATTTATCCACAATTTAACCGATTTCACGAATTTAAAAACTATTTGAATGACATTAGTTGAGAATCATGCTGACTTACTTTTGGTAAAGGTGAAGTCATGAACTTAACAAACATCCTTAAATATAGGACAACGAAAAGTAGTTTAATTTAAAAAAAATCGTTGAAGTTTGGAGTAATGAATCGTGTAAAAATTTTGAAATTATATCGTCACAATTATATAAGAAACCAAATCTGAATTCTGATTGATTAAATATATTATTTATAAATTTATATTCATCTCTTACCATTGATTTGTGTCTGCCAAACTGCATCGCCAACTCCCCAAAGTCCAGCCATGACAAAGAACATCATTTTATCATCAGGGCTTGGTCTCCAGAATAACAATCCGATCATCAGGCCCATGTGCAGGAAGAATCCGAAAGTGATGATAATTTGGCGACCGATGAACTTCATGATAGAGCCAAAAACGACTGAACAAATTGCGTTGACTACTCCAAAGCAAATCATGACGTATCCAATTTGACTGATACCCAAAGCACAGGAAACATAGGCCTGTAAGATAAATTATATTTGAAATATATAATTGAGTATCATGGTATATAATGAAATTTTTACAAAGTTTCTAAAATCTTGTTTGGCAAGGATAGGTTTTGTATCAAAACTTATGAAAATTGGAAGTATTTAATATCGAATATGATGTAATGTCTTAAGAACATCTTAAACTGGTAATTACACTGAGCATATAATTCAAATACTCCCAGTGGAAATCATAGATTCTCGAAAAAATCTTAAAATGGATAAAATTCTAGGTTGTTTGCATTGATCATTTATCATGAATTATGATTAATCATGGATATTTATGATATTTTAACTGACCTGGGTGAAATCAGCACCAATGAAAGCCTGCTCCATACCAATCCAAACAGTTATTGGAATCAACATTTGTTGATTGGGTTTTTTAAGCTGGTAAGCTGTGGCAGAGATCAGCTGAATTGGTGTCAACTCATTTTCAGATTCGTGACCACGACGATTTTCACCGTATCTATTGAAAAATAAAAAATATATATTAAAAGATTTCAGTAAGTTGCACTGAAGTAAAAATTCATAAATAAGAAAATATTCCATTACTTTTTGTTACTGGCATCGAACAGTGAAAGTTTGCATCAATTCTAATTTAGTTTTTTTTTTATTGCATTAACGACATATTTATTTTTTGTTTATTGAAATTATATTTCCAACTATCAAGTTTACAATGATTTCAATTTCGATCTTACCTTTTCAATGAATCTACGCATGTGGCGATCATGATGACTGCAGCAACGATACATGATAAATAGATTGCACTGATTTCGAAAATTTCACTGTCTGGAGGTCTTTCCATGTTTTCACCACCGCCACCAGACATGCAGAAATGTGCTCCACAATGCATAAGATGTTCCTCAGATACAACAGTCTCGTTGTCTGAGCTTCCAGATCCATGGGGCCCAGAAGATAATACTGAAAGATGAATTATATCGTTATTTTTTGTAATGAGTTAATAAAAATTGTATATTTTTATAGTAAAGCGGACGTGGTGTTCATGCTCAGTAACAGCTGTGTAGGCCTAATCTTTGAATGATAATAACCTATTCAGCTGAAATAAAATTTACGAACAACATGTCACTAAATTGTATAAAACTCATATTCTTCTCAACGAAGGCATTAATGGTTTCCGCGTTTACATTTTTGCTATATTTTGTTTGAATTTTTATTTCATTTTTTTTTACCCAAACTGGAGATGAGATTTCCCCATAATTCAGCTGTTTGCCAGGCAAGGAAGAAGAATCCAAAGAATCGTACGACAATAGCATCAACAGGTTGATCAGTCAATTTTGCATATACACCTCCTACGGTTGTTAAATACGTAGCTTTTGACGCCCACATAGGTGCAGCTCCTAAACCAAGAAGGATACCGGCAGGGACCAAGGTGTAAAATCTATAAAAAGAAGTTAAATGAGAGACATTCTTATAACATAATAGTTACAAAAATATATAGTTATCTTTACCTGGGATAAAACTGTGAAGCAATGTAAGGTGCATAGCATAACATAGACAAACAAAGCGTCCATTTAACAGTAAGTCTTTTAATAATCAGCGTCGGCAAGAACATGCAACTCAAAACAAGTGCAGCATAGATAGCACTCAATGAGACCGTCCCCAAACCATCTTTGGCATTAATGGAACTCTGCAAATTAGCTGTTCCTTGGAAGGCTGTGAATTGCACCATGAAGGCACAAGATACTGCTGAAACATTCTTCAAAATTCTCCACTTTTCGTTCCTCGACAATTTGACTTTACCAGTTGCAATTGCTTCCTCATCAGAGATTTCTTTGGGATGATGTTGTTTCTTCTCTTTGGCGATTGGATCATCACCATCAGCGTTGAAGGCATCATTATTGTATCCACTGGAAACGTTTACTGTGTAAACTGTTTCTTTGTTATTTGCGTCCAAAGAGTTGGACCGGTGGTCACCACTCGAAGGGGAAGATGCAGTCATGGTTCTGCGTCGGTTTTGCTGAAAGTTTTTTTGACTGTTTGTGTGCCAACCGTTGGCTGTAGGAAGACCGAAGTCGCTGAAGAAACGACGGCGTTGGGGTGCGCGCTCGAATTGAATAGAACTGGAAAAATATAAATGATAATTATTATTAGGAAAAAAACAATGAAAGCAGAATTGTATTAAAAACTAAATTCTAATGATCCTCATTTAAATAAACACATTATTTTATTTATTACTGTTCAAACTATTAGTATGCTTTCAGATGTTTCTACATCATCAACATTGCTTTTAATTAATTTAATTATATTTATTAATTTTCTGAAGGAGAAGATGTTTAGAAGTTTATTGCTAATTTTGTGCTTTCCTGGAGTAACGCCAAGAGTCATTCTGAATCGTTTGACACAAAAATTGGAGGAAGTATATGTATGTTTATAACAGCCTCTTTTTATGATCGACGTTTTCTCAAAAACGACTGCACCGATTTCAAAAATCAGATGTAATTTGATCAGCACTCGAAATTTTTTCTAGACAATCATTTCCTTAGAATTTGTAGAAAAGTGCAAAATTGTTTGTCCACTGATATTAAAAATTCAAAAACTATTCGTAAGATATTATTTGGCAATCGTGCTGATTTGTTTTTGGCAGAGATTGTTCTGGCCATATATTTATTATTGATTGTTAATTTTTGGGGTTTCAATAAAACTTGGTATAACGTTAGAGGTTTCTGGTCGTAATGAAAATTCTAAAATTAAATTTTGATTTGGATTAAAAGTTTTTTGTTAGCACTTCATTTTTATAAGGCATAAATTTACATACCATGAAATCAGACATATACACTTCTTAAACTGATTTTTGAGTTAACTAAATATATTATTAATTACAATTGTAATTATTTTATTATAACTGTAAACATTCACTTCTTCACTTGTTAATCAAAAATATATTCTTAACATTTTCATATTCATTTTCTATATCCATTCCTTCTATCTCAAGTGTCAATTCGGAACTAATCCCTAGGTGATACCTATTATAGGTTTATTCATATCGGAGGGTGAATAGTTAATAAAAAAAGTTATTATTAGTATCAATATAACATCGTAGAGCTAAACGTACACTATGAAAATTTAATTCGTAACGACATTACTCACAGTTAATTATTGATGAAAATTTATGAACAATTATTGCATCAAGGTCTATGTCGGGCGACGCGACGAAGGCTCAAGATCGATAATTTCAAAGTTGAAGAATTGGTTATGAAGACTGAAACTTTTCGTCTTGGTACGAAGTATTTATTTTGCAATATGATTAATTATTTGATGTTATTGATTTGCTATTTATGCAGAATACTGCTTATTAATTTTCAATTTATGGACGGAATAGTTTATAATGTAAATTACAGAACATCTAGATACTCCTATGAAGTCAACATGAGGTAAGGGAACTAGTCGTCAGTGGTAGCAGAGATGTTATGAAATTTTCTTTTAAAAAATTATGAGAGTTTTTAGTGCTTAACTTTTATAGAATACAAATTTGATCTTAATATGTTTGTTTCTATTTAATATTTCAAATTTACATATATGAGCAAGTAGTTTACAAAAATCAATTATAACTGTAATAAAATAATGGGTAATTGCATTAGGGCAGGTTTGTGAGTTAATTTAAACTCCAACTCGATTCCATTGCCATTTCACACCGCAGTGCCCGAAATTAGCTATTTTCAATTGGAAATATATTTTTGATATGTATGTTAAAGTGAAAATTGATATTACTGCTGCATGATATCAGGTTATCTGGAGCAGGGGTTCTAGCTCATGACCTTGTTCACACAAGGCACTGCGCTTAAACGGTACGCCATGGAACACCGATTTTAAAGGGGTGTCTAGAATTTCTGTATAATTTACGATATAAACTGTTTTGTTGATAAATTCAAAATGATGAAAGCAGTATTCTGCATTATTTATGAATCCTTAATATTTAAACAATTTATCATCTTGCAAAAGCAATTTTTTGGGGGTGGCGTGGTTTGCTTAGATGACTAAATATTTAATGAATTTTGGGGCAGATATTCGAATAATTGTTTTACTAATTTTTTTGCACTGAAATGTATTGGATGCATTAGATAGATATAAGATTAATTAGATGGATAATATTTTTCAATTGAATAAAACATTATATATGAGATAGTGATTTATAAAAAAAAATATGGGTAATCTAATATTAGAGCGTTATAAGACAATAGAATGACCTTAAAAATTCCACTATTTTAAAATTCCAATGGAGATTAGTTGTTTAGGATAACGTCATTTAGGTTAGGACCCTAAAATATTATTGTACCAACTATATTAATCATTGGAAATATCTATCTTTAAATTGATTGAATAATAATTTTGAATAAAAATCAGATTTTAATAGTTTTGACATACTTTTATATGTCGAGATTATATATCTTATTTTTTGTTGCATTGCTGTAATTTATCGATGGAGTGTCAAATAATTATAATTATTTTTATGGAATAACGTCATAGTATTTATTTTGAATTATCATCTTCTACTAATATTTATAGCAACTAGTACATAGACAATTGGCAATTACATGAAATTCTAGCCAAGATGATGTGCTTAACGGATTTTCCTGGATTGTATATATTGGTTTATAATTTTTGATTATTATTCATAATTTATTTGGATTATTATTGATATTTTTATTATTTACTTGAACTGCAATCAGAAATATTGTCAGCTCTATACATTATATGAGTTCTGTACATTTGATGTATTTTCTACTATCTAGATTTATTAGAAGGTATCTCAACAGTTGTTCTTTCTCTTCGGAAAACAATTATTAGATACTTGTAATAATGATTGATGTATATTGCAAAAATACATTGAAAGGTGTGTGTGTTTTTGATTACAAATAAAATTTAGATTAAAAATTGATAAAAAAAAATCTATAAGCTTCAGAGCATTGAGCATCTCGTCGGTTTTAACAATGAGTACTTCAGGTTTACTCTTCTGGGATTTTGATGAAACTTTGCATGGTCATATAGTTGATTATAAAAGTGAACACCTGAAAATATTATAGGCCTATGGAAAGTGGTTCAATTATAAAAATTAATTATAGTTTTGAAAAATTGGCCGGGCGAATGCGTACGTATATAGTGTTCCATATCTTCATAGGTGCAACATTTAATCTGAGGGAAATCAGTATTTTGCAATCTGCGGAAATATTCTATACAAAGATATTTTTCGAATTGTATATAGTGCTCAGAAATAATAAACTTTACTAATTATAAAATGTTAAACACGTTTTCCTCCTGATATTTCCCATTAATGCGTTATTTTGTCGTATGTCCGCTTCCTGCTCGAGTCGTGTATATGATTTTCAGTCACGAGTCATTTCGTGTCCGATTCACGATTCACGAGATCTATCTAATTCTAATATAAAGGTAAAATGGCGAACGGATGTCACTTATTAATGATTGATAGCTACAAGAACAGCTCGGCGCTAGTTCTGGGCAGGGGACAGCCGGGTAATAAGGGATAGTTTTGGTAGAAAATAATTTCGAATAACTTCTTGGTGATGACTAAATTGTATTTGATTCCCGAAGGAGAAGTTTACGTTTTTGCCAGAAACACCTACACATTTTGAGTCATTCTGAATCGTTTGAGACCAAAGTTAGAAAAATAATATGTGTGAGTGTATGTTGTGTTTTATTCCCGAAGGAGAAGTTTATGTTTGCACCAGAAACACCTCGACATTTCGAGTCAAAAAGCTAAAGTTTGATTTGTCGAACACGTTTTCTCAAAAACGGATGCTCCGATTTCAAAAGTGTCAAACCCATTTGATGAAACACAATAAGGACTCCCGTTGGTTAGTTTTGTGAGACGATCGGCCAAGCAGTTTCTGTATAATTAGTAGAGAAGTGCAAAATTATCCTGAAACAGTCTTGAACCGATTTGTAAAGCCAAAAAAACTAAAACTTCGAAATCTGACTGGTTAGTGATAAATTATTAAATTCTTCGTTCATGATTTTGAGAAAACTTTGCATGAAGATCGGGTATATGGTTCTAACAAATGTACTATGTACTATTGTCATAAGTCTACGAAAAGTAGTTTAATTATAAAAAATCATCAAAATTTAGATCACAATATATATAAGCCACAATTTTGAAATTGGTTGTTTCTCAAATCTTATTAAGTCGATTATTTAGTGATATCGAAAGGTTTCTGCAACTTGTCTTAAGGCAAAATCTCACTTACACCTAGATTATCTTACTTTTATAGACCATGTGATCAAATGGTCAATTGGTCAATTGGTCATGGTGTATTTTAAAATTAAATTTTTAGTTATATTGTCTTGTTGTTGTTTTAATTAAGATACTTCAATGTATAGATTGTTTGCAAATGATTATGTAGTAATGTAACTATATATATATATATATATATATATATATATATATATATATATATATATATATCATTATATCTCATTTATAAAAAATTAAAATCAGATCTTTTCTATTTTGATTTCTTGTAGAATAAAATTTTAAACTACAGAGTTATATTTATTATTAATATAGCTCTTAGAAATTTATAAATGTTTTATTTTTCAAAATGTGGTTATAGAGATAAAATTTACGAAAAGTTTAAAAATAGAGAAAAAACTGTATTATTAATATAAAACCAAAAATCCACGAAAGAGTATTTGTATAGACTAGTAGAGAAAACTGAGTATATCATGTTTGAGATTTGTGCGAAAAGATACAAAGAGACAGACCTAATATTTGTGATTAAGACAATTAGTGATTAGGACCTACCTTCTTATCATTTTTAAGAATAAATTAGATAAGCATATTTAATTTATTATGCACTTTATATTGAGGAATAGTTCCTTGTTCACAATCTCTACTTTCCTCTACATTAGTTAAAAAATGATCAGTTATACTGTGTTACGTTAATATTTTTTCTATTTGTAGAAATTATATCCTTTTATTTATTTTTGGTTGTGTAACTTAAATGTTTATTGATAGAGAGTTGTTTGGAATGTTATAAATAATTTATAATTTTTGTTATCAGAAAGCGTTCATAAACTATCATCATAGTAAACTATGAATTTTATT